GACAAAATCAGCGACTTTACACAGCACCCTAGACGGAGCCAGTCGCCCCTCCTACACCTCAAGTCACCTCTGGATTTTGAGTAGGTCGCCAAACCTGCATTTCTCTTTCCAGCTCCAGGCATCCAGAATCCAGCCTCTCGCTCCTCCCGGCTCAATCGTATGAAGCATCAATCCAGCACGGCCTCGGCGTCCTCCTGCGCCAGCAGCTCCATGGTGCCTGCTTGAGGCCCACGTGCCAGGCGCCGGAGCCCGCGCACTGCCAGGAAGACGCACACGCTGAAGCCCGTGACGTAGGCGGCCAAGTTCACCCAGCCCACCACATTCAGCTCGGGCACGGCTGGCTCATCGACCTCCTGGAGGGTTAGTGATGCTTGGTGGCGTGTAAGATGCATGGGGATCCTGCGTCGGTAAAGGCTACATTTGGCATCTTGATAGACCCGAATCATTGATGGTTCCTGAACCGGTAGCAAGAAACTACTGGTAACTAGTCACAAAGGGCTAGTAGCTCCTAGCCGTACTACTAGTGATACTAGTGGCAAGAAGCTATTAGGTGGAGGCCAGGGCTCTTAGGGTGGAGGCCATTGCTACTAGTAACAAGAAGCTACTGGTAACAAAGGGCATCGCTACTAGGAGCAAGAAGCTACTAGTTACTATAGTAGCTCCTGGCCTTACTACTAGGAGCAAAGAACCTGTTAGTAACAAGGCCATCGCTACTAGTAGCAAGAGAACTCACCCACACGCCCCCTGCTCCGGATCGTAGAGGCGGCTGAAGGGATTGAAGCTCGCACCGGGTTTGCTCATGGTGTTGCCCGCGCATTGCGCTTGCGAACCGGACCCGGAGCAGGTGATGCCATTTGGGCACATGCAAACCTCAGCTCTGAGAAAGAAAACATGCGCCCCCACATCAAGCTTTATCGCCGGCATCTGGGTCTTCACTCCCTCAACATCCAACAAATCCTAAATCTTGCCTGAATGGCGCAGCGTCGAGATTCTACGAGTAGATGATTTGACATGCCTGCTCTTCTTTAACTTTAGTCATCTGAGCGTTCTGGATGCGAAAAACAAGATGGCACTACCAACAACACCTTCGGACTACTGGAGTTGCATGTCATCTCTCTGAGCAAGCTTGGAGGTGAACAGCAGCAGCCCGGCACGGCGCTCCTGATCCCTTCTGCCCAGGAGCACCCACTTTCTCCATAGACGTCATCATGGAGCCCACACACTGGACGTTTTGCCCCATGGAGGCCTCAACACCATCATCCAGTTCAGTTCAGAAACCCAAACCCATCAAAAGTCCTCAGACACCTGCCTTCCATTGCTTTCCTTCAATTGGCCACCATCTGCGTCAGTTTGGGCAAGCCAACTCAAAATATGGCTGCACCAAAGTCTGAAGCGGGAGAACATCTTAACATTGGATGACGCACTGTGAGAGCACAACCAGAGGCATTGCAAAGGGTGATCACCATCAAATGTGAGGCATGTGAATGTGACTCCTTCATAAAGAGTTAACGCCATGGAAAAAAAAAGAAAGAAAAAACGTGACACTCCAACTGGTCGGGCCGGCTGCTGGGGCAGCAGCTTGACACCCAATGATGCGAACCAGGCAGCAGGACAAGGATTGAAGACGCTGAAGGGATCCTTGGGATTGCGCTCATGTGACCAAAGAATACAACAAATCAAATACAGACGCCCAAATTGCCATGGGTGCACTGGGCTTCGAAGAACGTGTCGCTTTGGATCTTCTGGATTTTGCGTGATCAATCATTCAGGGTTTGAGCAAACCGGCAAACTATGCGATGTAATTTAACGATTTTCAGCTCCGTTGTCTGAGCTTGTGCCGGTCAGGACCAGACCAAGTCCAACCACACTCTTAATCCCGTGAAAATTCAGGCCACGGACCTTCAATTGCTTCATGCGGGAACTCGATGCAAAAGATGTTAAGGAAAATCGAATGAACCGACCATGAAAAACAATTCACAATTCGACCCCACCCTTAAAAAACAAACAGTTGAACCATTGAATCAACCACCTTTCCATGACTGACCCGCGACACATCTGCCGACGACAGCTTCAAGGCTCGGTGGGGCTGCACTTGGCCACTGCGGGTCCGCAGCAGGCCGAGGGGTTTGCCTTGCACTCCTTGGAGGCATGGTGCCGGAGTCTGGGTTCTGCACCAGTAAGGAAGATGTTTCGAGTCTGCTGACAATGTTGCTAGGCCGCTGGGCTATGAGTTATGCTTCTTGGTATTCATTCCTCTCAAGGAGAGAGCTGCACTCCAGGGCACTGCTGCATTGACGCCCACACCCTGGCTGCTCGGCTTGCACACGAAGGGAATCTCAGCTCTGGCAGAATGGAAAAACCAGCTGATGGACATGCGCAAACGATCGGATTTGGCTCTGACTTGGAGGTACGATGTTTTTCATTGTTTTTCACTACGAATTCGGAGGGTGGCGGAGTGAAGAATCTTCCGGCCCTATGGGAGATCTGACAGTGACTTCCACCTGACGCCGGAGCCGGCTGCACGTATTGCTGGTTTTGGGTGGTTTTGGTGATGCAAGTCCGGCGACTGTCCAGGGGGGTGGACCATCATCATCCCAGTACACAAGTCCGGTTGGAACTCATTTCAGGTCAGCCAAAGGTGAAGCTTATTTAGGTTCAAGATGTTCTATATAGAATGTTCTAGCAAGGCCTTTCCCTTCAAAAGGTTGCTGCGAATCCGTTGGGTTGGGGAGTGCAAACGCGGCTAATCAAATACCAGGCAACCATGTTCATGGTCATGGAGCACATGGTGTTCGTCATGGATCCCTGCTGTGCAGCGGCCACGGTGAGCTGGAATGCCAAAAGAGAGCGGATGGCCGCCTGAGAGAAAGTTGCGAGGCTGCCTTTTGAGCTTCGGCTGGCGTCTAGAGAAACGTCCCTGTGATACCTTGTAGACAAGATCGAGGCGTGGTGGTTGATTGTGCGTATATAGGGGCTCCTGGCATCGCTACTAGGAGCAAGAACGCTACTAGGGGCTCCTGACCTTACTACTAGGAGCAAGGACGCTATACATTACAAACATATTACCAACATGCATGTTGGAGTGTAGAAGAACTCTGTCAGACTCCGTCACGGCTTTCCATACCTTCCCTCATGCATCCATCATAGCGGGTCGGCACTTGCATCCTATCCAGCATTGCCAAGGCACCATTGTTCGAGACACGTTGGAGATGCTTGATCTGGCGGCTTGAGGCTACACGGCAGGCTCGGGAGTCGAATCCTTATAGACAAGGCATCGAACATCCTCAGAGTCGGGAGGGATGGTTGACCTGGTCATGATGAAATAATGCAAGAGCGCAAGATGTGTGCTCTCACACGAAACTCTACATACTCAAAATGAAGGCTAGGGACAAGGCAAAGAGTCATACATAAGTTCTATCAGTGAATCCGAGGAGAAACAAATCGGACAGCAACCAGGAGCTTCGGTTCCGAAGCCGTCGACACAGTAAGTGGTCACTAAACCAGAACCCCTCGTTTTCACTGGCCTGTCGCGGGGTGTCCACCGAGGGAGCATGCTGCTGTGCAACCACCTGGTCAAACGATTCAGGAGCCATGTTTCACGGCATGTTCTGCCCATTCCCGCGGCAATCATGGACTTCTTCAAAAATAATAGAGATGCAGGAGGGAAAAGACGGTATATAATCGGCAAACCGCAAAACTTGGCATGAACTTTTAATTTAAGGAACGCCTGAAAGGAATATCTCCAAAGGTCATCAAGGGTCCAATGGTCGTAGTCAAAAGGTTTGGCACCCTGCCCTGCACTTGCTATTAGATAATGGGCGTAGTGGCAGAAGCTTGGGTATATAGTACAAATCTGATCTGATCTTGTCATATATATATACACATGTGTCACATGTGGTAATTATATTGCCGTATATATATATATATATTTTACTACCATATTTATATAGAGAGAGAGGTTTGTTTTTTTGCACACCACCAAATGAAACCTCTGCATGCCAACATTAAAAAAATGTCTACAGTATCCTTTTCTCTACTGACTGCATCCCTCTCTCTATATCAGGACCATTCTAGATTGAATGAACCACCCCAACCAACTACTCGGTGCCCTGACGCCGAAGCTCTTCACAGCTTCGGTTTGTCGTTTCAGCACCAGCTCCCGCTGGCGCAGCATCTTTTGCCTCAGAACGGTCGCTTCGCTGATTGCAACTGGCCAGGTTGCCGGCCACGGGTAGCTAGGGCACCACCTCGCACTTCCCCCTCCCATGACTCGATGCCAAGGCGCTGCATCCCCAAAGAGCCTTCCCGCAAGATTGTTCAAACAAGACAGACTCTGTTGGTTCTGAATGCGAATCCTCTGAAATGGTCACAAGAACGGCCTCCAAGCGTTGAATGCCTTTATTGCGTGGCTGTGGGATGCTGTGGGTTGTGATAACTATATACCCCCGATACCCCTGCATGCAATCAACACAGCCCTCTATCTTGCAAGCATCTTAAAGCTAGTCACATCTAGACTCTAGTCTTTCAAAAAATTCAGACCAGTGGTTTTCCGAGTCCCAGCCTTCACGTGCAGATAAACGACCCTCACCTCAAACGCCCGATCCGCATTGCACGGTCGACGGTCTCACTGGTTGCGATCGAAGACGGGGAAACAAACAGGCCTCCCGGAGTGCCTGCCTGACAAAGTCACCAAACAACAGGTCAAACAAATGAGTCTATTGTGATGTTTTATGCCTTCAGAGGCCTGAAATGGCCTAAAGGGATCTAAAGGGAGTGGATTCGGAATTCTCGGGTGAGAAGAATTGGATCAGCGAAAATCCACACATCCCCTCTCACAAAAAAGATCGTTGGGGCTGGGTAGCTGGGTCAGCTAGGTCATAGGTGTCAGCTAGGCTGAGATAACAATTTTAATGATATGAATCTTGTCATGTCGTAGTTCTCAAGGTGAAGGAGCATGCCACCTGCACGTCTCAAGCTTAGGTGGAGATCATCCTTTTTGCGTGCATTGATTCAATGCTGCCAGCTTGAGGAGGACTTGTTCACCCAATCAAGCGCAGCCGAGTCAGCAGCTTTCCTCTGAAGGCGCTGTTCAACGTCGTTCATGGACGGAGCTAAAAACCCAGTTGCACAGGACCGGCTCCCGAGTTGCACCCAGCAACGGAATCGATGGTACTCGCGGTTCATGGGCATGGGGCAAATGGGGAGCTTCTCCTGAAGAACCTTGTACCGTTTGCCGGTTCGTCATGCTCTTGTAGTATCCCACCTGCTCATGGGTGGCCCTTACATCCGCTCCTTCACACCAACTTCGCACGAATCACACTCCTTCATTCCACCGCATCCGCGCGGGTCGCCCCTCCCAACTCCACAGACAGCTGCTCCAAGGCATCTCGCGCTCCCAGCAGCAAATGCACCAAGTTTCCCAAGTGTCCTTCCTCCACTTCTTCAGCTTCTCCAGGGTCCAAGCGCACCAACGGGCAAGCAAGGCGAGGGATCTTCCATTCCCCTGACATGCAGCACCAGGAGTTCTCCGTCCAGCGCATCCGAAGGCTGTGTTCGCTGGAGCCACAACCGATTTCCAAAACGCACACTTGACGCCCGGCCAAGCTTGCGAGCCATCGATGAAACCGAGCCTCAGAAGAGGGAAAGTTGGTTGGTGCTGACAGTGCTGACAACTTCTTCGAAAGTCGACTTTTAGAACTCAGGTGTGGATGCCTCAAGTTCTGCAGCGGCCCTGCATCGTCTACGCCTATGAGTAAGTAACAATGAAAAAATGCGAATGCTTCCCACACTATGCCCAAACAAAGCCAAGCGAGACGAAAACCACCCAACTGATTCGACTCCCTCAAACCAGGCTGACTCAACAACATCTTGAGAATACCAAACAGCGAAGCGTTATCCTATTTTGTCCTTTGGGGCAGATCCTCGAAATGAGAAAAGTCCTGATTAACATCAGTCCTGACCAGCTTGCCAAATATCAACGTCCTATGACTGGGTTTTGCTGAGGACTTGTGGGCTGCAAAACATACCTGAGAAGCTGCAAAACGAAAGCCTGCGTTTTTACTTTCGAGTGTGCTTTCTCAGGCCACCCCCCCCCGAACCCCCCTTCTTACTCAGCTGGCGCCTTGCCAGGTATAGATACCCAGGGTAACTACAATTCAGTTACCAGGTATAGTACTTCAAGTTCCCTTTCCGTCAACCGCTTGATAACCTTTACACACGCACAGCAACCCACAGCTTTGAAGTCTCATTCGTGTTTTGAACTTATATAGGTGTGCAAGAGGTATAGCAACTTAGCATTTTTACGGACCCAGGGTAGCTACAATTCTGTTCCCAGGTATCGCGCGCGTGAGACTTCAAAGCTGCGGATTGCTGTGCGTGTGTAAAGGTTATCGAGCGGTTGATGGAAAGGGAACTTGAAGTACTATACCTGGTAACTGCACTATAGCTACCCTGGGTATCTATACCTGGCAAGGTGCCAACTACACCTTACCATTCAGATGATGCAAATGAACCACCCCTCAAAAATCACCTCCAACACAACGTCAGGAATCCTTCCATCCGTCCACCCTCCTCCCCCAGCATGTGCCGAGTTTACGTGTACCTTTTGCGGGCCACCCCCCAGACCCCCTAACTACCCACTTCGTTCGCCAAGCACAACTCAGCTGGCGCCTTCTACGAAGGCTGGCTTTCGTAACTGATCGGCAAAACAAACCTCAGATCAGGAGGGACGAGGGACCTCGGGTCCGGCTTCTGCGCTTTCCTGTTTGATCCTGTTTGTAGCTTTACCTTTTCCGACTGTACTTGTTTTGCACCGTGCAACGTGATTGCGTGCCCCTTTGCGCAGGTTCAGATCTGCACTGGGATGGATTTGGAAGTTCCAAGGCATTGAAGCTCTCAGTTCTACACATATTATACACTTCTTTGCAGGAATACTGACTTCTGCGGATCTGTCTCATTTGCCAACCCCGTGCCTAGAGTTTGGTTCACGAATATCACTTGGACTAGTCAATGCGTCAATGCTCGTGGCCTCTCTCTCTCTCTGTCTGTCTGCCTGCCTGCCTGGCTGCCTGGCTGGCTGGCTGGCTGGCTGTCTGTCTGTCTGTCTGTTGGCTGTGATTCTGCATGCTACCTGCGGCTACCTCGGCGGCAAGATGCAGAAAAAAAGGAATGTCCCCATTTCAACCGACCATCAGATTTAGAGCATCTTGGCAGGCTAAGCACATCCAGGGGTCACGTTGTGGTTCGATGTACTTGGGATTGAAGGTCCTGGCGTTGCTCCCTAGGTCATCATCAAAGAAGGCCACATTGGGCCGAGCATAGTCCTCACAATGGCGACACTGGGGCAACTCCATGGTCGCCTGTGCGAGCGTACAGCAGACGACTGTGCGAGCTGTGCCCAGAACAGAAAAGAACACACCGACATTGACATTGCACCAGTTTCAACACCTGCACGAGGACCATCTAGGATTTGAATTTATCTCAAGCAGGCCCGCACCACGGGGATGCCGCTTCAGGCGCCGATAAAAGAGAAACACTGAAAACTGAAAGCTCACTAAAACTCCAATATCATGTCTGAAAACTTCAACCAGGGTATCTACCTGGGACTGTCGAGTAGTTTGGCCGAAATCAACAAAAGCTGCAACTTCAGACTTCAGACCCAAACATTTACTATGGTCGGCTGAGTCTGCTTCCAACCCGGCCCCCACTCCACTCTCCCCCGAAAAAATGAAATCAAATATCATCAAATCTCTACAGCGCTCTACAGTCAATATCTCTCTGCTGGCATTCTTTCGCCTGAGCCGGCCAGGGTGGGTGCGCCCGATTGCACTTGGGATCGCAGCACTGCCACATGTGGACCGAGCCATGTGCCTCAAAAAGCCGTTCCGGTGGAAAGCCGGCGCGTAGGAACGCTCCATCGATGTTGGAGGTGCAAACGAAGAAGTCTGCGCGGCGGCACAACTCCAAGAGCTTTCCATAACCTGAAGAATGATTGCTCAAAAAGAATGATTGTTCAAGAGGGAGTTTGATGAGCGGCACAACTCCAAGAGAATGATTGTTCACGCCTTTCAGCTTACACTGCTCATCAAACTCCCTCCCCATCCATGCCTCTCACTCTGTGGCTTTGCAGCCCACCTTTGGACCTGGAACAACCAGCTATCGGCGTACCGGTGACTTCCCGAAGGCTTCCAATGATGGCGCGCCTGCATGAGGCGGGGTCTGGCGGAAGGTCTCCAACATGGCTCCATGCCAACGCCACGCTTTCTCGATGTCCTCCCGGAAGCTCTGATGCCTTGCCAGGTCCATGTACTCCTCCTTGGTGTAGCTGCCATCCTGCAGTCGTGTCTCAGATGCGGAAGAAAAAGACATGTGGGAAGGAGCTAGGGTTGGACTGATACGTTTTGAAACTGGTACTGGACCTGCCCCAAGATTCACAGTCATTCCAACAACCCGATTATCTAACATGTGTTGTCCTATATATGTTGTCCTTTGGCTTTTGATTTGAGCATTCCACTAGAAATAGGTCTTGTGGAGGACTCCTTGGCTCGAAAAGTGCTCAAGCCTGAGTCCACGCCCATTCCAGCACCCACCAAAACCAGCAAAACCTCGCATTCTTGGAGCATCATCGCCGCTCTCTGTAGCTGACTGGCACCTGGCGCAAGAACCCATTGCTCCTCTTCTTTGCTAGTGTGGTTGGTATTTATTTGAGTACTGCTTTACTACCGCGGCAAGTCTTAGGACAATCAATCTGACAACGGCCGTCTGGAAGTGGAATCCGCCCCTCAAGACCATGTCTCTTGATCATCTTGATCTGGGTGCATGATCCGCTTCCAGATTTGTGTGAGGCAAGTGCAGCGTGTGTAGTGCAGGGGGTCAGGGATGTTGGATTCAGTCCAAAGAAGCTCCGAGTCATTTGTCGGAAAACGGATGCAATGTGCTCCAGTCGCACTTGACACTGTACCGAAGCCACTGTGAAGGCATTCGATCACTTTGCACGTGCAGCACTTGGCTTAAACCCACTTTGCGTAACATTATTGTGTTTACAGATTGAATTCTCGTCGATCTTTCTAATTCTCGTAATGTCATTGGTCAAACGGCTTCAAAGGAACAGGTGTGTGACATTGTGTGACTAGTTTCTTCTGCGGGTTTGGAATGTTTATGTGCAGGCGGTCCTGGAGAGTTTTTTGGAGGATTTACTGTAATTGATCCACTAAACTTGAACTGACACACCCCGACTCACGACCCACGTATATATAACAATTGACATCCCAATAAACTGCAGCTCTTCGCATCAACTCGCCCCACTCGTTCTCGGGTTACGCCTTCGCATGGCAATGGAGATCTGTATCCGGCTGCAGCGCTGGCTTTCAACTTCGCTGCACCCTTCCAGGTCTTCCTATGGTAGGTAGCTCCAAACATCCAAGGATTTCAAACACTGGCTTCGACGGGGACCAGAACATGGAGTCTGAGTTGAAAAAGCTCGTAGGTTCTCTTGACTTTCCGTTTGTGCGGGGCTCTTAAGGCAAGGGCTGGCAAGGGCTATGAAACCAGCACCTTTTGCTTATTACAGCTTTTGCATACATGGCGGCTCATGGAGATTCAAGGGCCGAGAGTCATGCACAAGACCACCCCAGCGGTACCCACGCCACTGAAGAGGGAAGTCACCAAGTCTTCCGTGAGCTCTTCACCGGTAAAGCTATGATAGGCCAGTCCCTTCCTCGAAAGGGAAGGGAGGAAACAAACAGGTAAAGCTTTGGCCTCAGTCTATTGAGCCCCTGCCAGTGCCAAAGCTTCTATTGAACTGCCCATTATAAATGAAAGCATCTATGAAGGTCAAGCCTCTTGGGCCGGAAGTCCTTAAACTTCTTCCCGGCAGCCTCCTTAATCCCCTGTAAGGTCACTGGCTGGGGCACTTCGATCATATGCTGCGTGCCAGAGCTATCACTCATGCTCATGGGAATGCGCACCGTCTTGGCCATTGCTGCGCACGTCCCACCTGCTGATCTTGGGGAGTTTGTGAGCCGAAACATGCTGAGACCAGGGCCTTTGCAACGACTCGAAGAGACTCAACACGCTGCCTGCCTTCTCCCCCCGTCTCTTGTTGGGTCGCTGCCACCCTTGTACTGTTGCTCCGGCAAGCCGTCATCGGATGCACATGGAGGTTGAGTGTGAGGTCTCCCCTCCCTGTCGATTCATCCAACCTGAAAGGAAAACCCCGCTGCTCTGGAGATGTCGCTGACCCACTGCTCGGCTCAAACCGGAAAAAAATCCTCGAATCTACCCAAAACCTCCAGAAATCCACCTGTCTGGCAACAGGAATTGAAAGCACATGAAAGCACCCCTGTGCGCGAATCATGGCCTGATGCCTCCAGTAAAACAGACTTCATCATGCCAAAGACAGGGACTGGGTCCTCAAAAGAAATAGAACCCTCTATTCAACTATACGTTCTGCATCGTTCTGCATTCTGCATCATTCTGCCGGTGTCTTGGGTGGTCGTTCGCTCATGTCTTTTGTTCTTGCTCTCCGTGGTTAACTTTCGGCAAACACTTCACCAACACAAAGCACCAGCTTGGGCAGCTTGGGGGATCTGGATGGATCTCATCAACTTGAATCCACTGAGTCTTCGCACTCAACATGGCCATGGCTGGCCACGCGCGGTCGAGTTTTGGAGCTACCTTTAATGGCAAAGACGTGCATCGCCAGGATTGAACTCAAACAGTGGAATCAACCCCCAAGAATCACGACGTGCTTTCCATCCAAGACAGCTCGCTCTCACACATTCAAAATTCAGGCCAATTCGCTGAGACTTTCTCGCCTTGTGCACACCTATTTCGCGCAAGCCGGGCCAGCCCTTTCAGGGCGGCCGTCATCCACCGTCCGCACAGAGAATTCCGGGAAGTCTTTCAGGTTCATCATCCAACCATCTTCTCTCAGTAGTTACTTCCCAGATTCGATTGACGATTCATGAAACTCCGCGTGGGGGGTTATGTCAAAGCTGGTAGTCTCAAGGTATGTCAACGTTAAGCAACAGACAACCTTGCAAGTGCCCTTGCCCATACCTTTTACATGTGCGATTCCTCTTCCGAGGAACCACGTTGCATGCATCTATATACCTGTCAGCGTAACGGTGCTGCTGTTGTCATCCTGTTCTCCGTTCTTTCGTGAAACTGGGCACCCGGGAGGCGCGAGAACCTCTTGCTCGCAATCGGTAGCCTTTGAGGATCTTTGAGGCTAGTCACCGCATCTGTCAACCTGGAGCATGCACCTCACACAGCAATGGCCCTCGTCGAGGACATGCCAGAAATGCGAAAATGACATCTGAAGAAGTCAGTCAGACTTCAATATGGTTCGTCGGACAGTTGAAGCCACAAAATATAGTTACCAAACCCGTCTATATTCTATATAATTCCTAATGAGTCTGTTCCAGGTGAATTAAACATGTGCCGTATTGGGCTTCTCTTCATAAAGCAGCTTGCTGCTGCTTTCATTTCAACATCAAGAACTCAAACGTATCAAGTATCAACACAATGCACCCAACGGTTCTGAATGGTCACAAATCTTGCAAAAACATTGGCAAGTGCAATCATGTGGACCAGCTCAGAAAGCAAGCCAAATCAACGGATTGGGTCTATCTGTCTATCATGTCTATCCGTCTATCCGCTTTCCCTTGTTGTCCTCAAAGGGCAAGTTGATTGTATGGATCGCGGCAAATCTGCAAGTGACCGATTTTCACTCAGCCATCCTCATTCTTGGTGGGAAGAGCGGGTGTCCTGCGGACGTAAGAAGCCACTGTCAAAAAATGCAGCAAATTACAGTCTATACATTTGGCTGAATTACCGCTTCAGCCACTTCAGTGCTTTCATGGTGTCCGCATGCTTCCGCTTAGCATATCCCCGAACCCACAAGTTGTGACTCTCCAAAGCCACCTGGCATGGTGTCATTGATGCGTGTTCGTTTTCCAACTGCACGGCCGCTCGAGCCCACTGAAGACTCCAAACGGCCAAACGGAGCCTGAAAGACCAACACGAACCTTCGTCGGACACCGGGAATCGAGTAAGCAACAAACAAGACACCAATGCCGATGTCAGTTCTCATAAAATCTCATAAAACTGTTTCCCAGGCCATGGCATCCACAGCCCCTTTCTTCCTCCCACGAGAGCACGGTGAGAGCAAATTCCTGGCCATTGCGAGGTTGCTGAAGACGAGGGGCTCCAAGGGCGACCAAGGCGACTAGTAACAAGGCGACTGTAACACTGACTGGCATACCGCCCTTTCGAACAAGCACACAACCTGTCAAGCGGCGTGAGGCCTTCCCCTAAACTCAGACCTCACTAACCTCCCCAAGGGCCGAAAGATGCCGAAAGCAAAACCAAGTTCAGCAGGATCATGTTCAACCCCAAAAGCGAAGTCGTGAAACTGGAAGATCTGGAAGAGTCGCCCCTTTCTTCGCCTTCCGTCCTCCCATGTCCTCCTTGGCGTCTTAGCACCGGCACTTCGCCAAACCCTCACTCGGACAGGCCTTGGCTTCCCTCAGCTTCTGCAACATCTGCTCCACCGACCTAGTCATTGACGAAAAATGAGAAAAGGCAGTGCCTGATTATTAGGGTATTAGATGTGATGATCACTTTGGCGCAAACCAGTTGTTTGAGTTTGAGGGTCGGTGCAGTCACTGTGCCCTCTGGAGTGTTCTATCCTGATATTGATGCATCAGCCCTCATCAACCTATTCCTAAATAACTATATATATATATACAAATGCTCTTGGAACAAGGCTGGCTTGTCAGGGACCTCCTTGGGCTACGACCCCACCCAAAAACAATCAAAAATATCCATCAGTCACAAGCCATAACCTGTCTCGACCAAAAACAGAAAAACGTCAAGCTTCACCAACAATTTTTCAAAAGCTCTGAAACACGTGAAATGTGCACAGGTTCCACGTGGTCGATCTTTGTGAGATGCACTTGCAGAGAGCAAAGATATACCAGCACCAACTCAAGACCCCATGTCTCCTACCCGCCGCCAAGCCACATTTCTTCGCCGTCCATGGAAATCACTCGCTGCCCGGCTGTGATGCCGAGTCCTTGGGCCTCGGCTGACGACGTGTCCACCGCAGTCAATCAATGTGGATCTCGGGCGGGCCAAACCCCTCGCCTCCATTCTCTCTCTCTCTCTCTCTCTATCTCTCTCTCTCTCTCTCTCTCTCACGATGGTTAAAAAAGCAGCTGTGGGCCGTTGTGAGCACTGTGACAGCGTTTAATTCGATATCGCAGTCTCGAACTTCAGTCTGACTTTAATGTGGTCTACGGATGTCAGAAAACCGTTGGCGCTGTGCTCACTGGAGATTTGAGCCACACCCCATTGGTCCAGAAAACTCAAGATGCTGGAACGACCTGTCACACAGAAAATATTGTGGTGGCTTTCGATTTGCAATGCATGCTTTCCTCGGCATGAGGCCTCTACAGCCTCTACCTACAACCCTGTGAAGACCCTTCAAGTGGTTTTCCTGAAGGGTTTAAAAAGCTATCGGGTGGTTGCATGGTCCCCACTGCTCACCACTAGAATGTGACTATCATGGCACAAACGAGTGTTCCAATTGGTCGGTCTCGTTTGGGAGCCATTGACCTCACTTATTTCACCAAATCATTCTGGATAGCACGGCGAATGAGGATCCTTTTGCCACTCCAACTTTCCTTACTCGGCCACCACGAAAGAAGGGCGCGCAAAACTTAGTGGGAATTAGGCGGCTCACATTCGACTGTATGTACACATGCGCATAAAACTATAATGCATATATGTATATGTGCATGTGATTTGTGTGTGTTTGCATGCGTGTTTGTGTGTGTGCGCTCGCCCCAGGAGCCCGTGTCAGCAGCATAAGCAACAACCCACGGATGGCTGCACACGCGCCTGCACCAATCCTTCGTTCACGCTCTTGACACAAAGGCCCCCTGAACGGTGCTGTCCACATCTCGGTGCGGCGAAGCCAAGCCCCAGGTCAAACGGAAAGTCACAATGATCAATCACTATCACCCCCATGCCACTTGATGGTCAACAAGTCCAAATCCGCGGTCTAAGTAGATCGTCGAAGCACTGTCGACTCCAGCCTATCTTGTTCTCTGACAAGGCGTAGTGAAGGCTGAGACCAAGGGCTTGACCATTCTTCACAATCTTTACCGTCGAAACCTCACACTTGCTTGCGACCCAACGCGGGTTGGGAGGACCGATCAATCGGGTCTTGGCCGAAATTGAAGTGAAAATCTGAGAATAAGAAGCCTGCTAAGCTTTGCTTCAGCTGATTTCTACACCCTTGCAGATCGTTCTTGTTCCTGTAAAATGCATGTCTGGCTGTGGGTCACAACCGAAGCCCTAAACCCTGGTAGGTTGACCTCCCTAGTATATAGTTCATATTTTAAAAAAGGGAATGGCCGTTGGGCGGCGCCGAATCGCCGAACTCTTGCGCAGGTCCCCACATCAACCTGTCAACGGTTCCAAGGTCACGGTCCGAGAGTTTTCCGTTACGGATGCGTCCCAGCTGAAGTGTCGATCCCAGCTGAGCTTTTGGCGACTGGATGCTGAAACTCCAACCTGGGATTCTGTGAAGCGTTGTCATGAGCGCTGTTTTGGGGTGCTGCATCCACTGGATTGGATGCTGGTTGTAGCTACCAACAAACGCTGGTTGGTGAGGATGCTTGCCAGTGCCGACGCTACACTAGTTACCCCCAAAAAACAGTAAGCGGTGCAACTTTATGATATGTGTGGCGTCGTGTGTGAAGGTGATATCATGTCCAAAACAGCAGAGTTTCGCGACAGCGACAGCCCATCGCCCTTCCACCATGTGAGGCCCCGGCAACGCGTGCGCCTGGTGCCCCAGTCCCTCAGCCAGCTCTTTGGCCAGCCTCTCAGCATCCTCGGCACAGCGGCCATTAACCTGGCAAAACATGCAACAAGGCTGAATGGTTTGCCCATCATCCATAAGGCTACGCAGTGCCCTTAAGACAATGACGTTTGATGTTTGAGATCAGCTTCAGCTGTTGACATTCATTTAACTCAACAATATTCTTTAATTATGATATTGAAATGACAACGTTTCACACACGATGGTTCAACAAGTAAATATTTCACATATTGCTCTACCTTGTTATATTGCAATGTCAACGCCAATAGGAGAGGGAGTATATAAGACCATCACTAAGACCATCCTATTCAAAAGAAAAACCCTACTACCAGTCCTCAGTCCTCCTTGCGCAAACTCTCAGCCTTCACCAGGCGGTCCCGTGGTCTCACCACTTCATGGGGAGCGCCTGGCGGCATCTGATGGCTCTGGGTCTGGCTCTGGCGTTCATCGCATGACACAATCCTGGAACAATCAAAAATCATCAAAAAATCAAAGTCCTGAGAAAAAGATCTTCACTGATTCTGGGAACATTGATGGTGGCAGGTTCATTGTAGTGGACCGGGGTCTGCGGCTTGCAAGCACGCAAAATGCACAAAGAATGTCAACACAATTGAGTGACCATCAAGAAAAGAAAATCGCAGGTACCATAACACAGGCAGGGCCACATTTCTGATTCCATGAATGGATCAGAGAAGGAGAGGCAACTTTGGCCACCAAGCAGACCTGGCACGCGTTCCACGTTCAGACGCAGCGTCTCTAGCATTAAATTAAGGCGCCCTCAACGGTTAGATAATTGTCATTCCAAGTCATTCCTGTCAATGTGAGCCCCTCTCCCTGTCAGTGACAGCACCCAAGGATGGCCGAGCCACATTGATGTCCATGAAGTCCTCAGCAGCACAGGCGCAGCTTCGAACTTGGGGCCGATCATTGGGTAGTTCATGGGATATTGAAGAGCAAGGGTTGGGTATAAATATATATATATATATGCCATAACAGGGGCAAATGGGTGCTGATTGTTAGCAAAAGCATTCCTTTAAAATAGTGGATAATCATGGATATTATTTTACCGCTTTTACTGACTATTAGTGGTACTGCGACAAGCCCTCAGCAAGGGCGTTTCCACACGCCTGAAGGCTGGTCTGCATGCAGTTGGGAGGCACTTCCATAAAGGTTCAAACCAACCACATGGCCATTCAAGGCTCGCATTGGGCACTGAGATGCACTGAGTATATACTGCAAATCCTCTAGAAATTCTGGCCCTCCACTCCCTGTCCACCTGAACGAATGCGTCCGAGAATCGAACGCCAGGCCCAATGGCAACCGCCTCCGGTCGGTATCCACCCCCACGGTGAAGAAGCTTCCCGGCTCTGGCTCCGAGTCCCGCACACCTGCTGGACTGCCTCCTGGAACACAAAGGGAAATGAACGCACTCGGGGCGATCTCTACAAGACCGCACGCGGACTGAGCTATGATCCATGACTTCATGACTCTTAGAAGAGCCACAGCAACATCGCATAAATGTACCAAAATGATCCGAAATGCTCAACAAAAGGATCCAAAAGGAATCTTTCCACTTTCCACCAATCATCCACCCGTCCACATCCATCCGGGCTCCATGCCTGGAGGTCGAGCGAGCGTTTTTCGAAAGGCTCGGCTCGACCATAAACCAGGAAGTAGAGGTCAAACACGACGTAGCACGATAAACAATGAAAAAAAGAGTGGGGCTCCTCAGCACCTTCTTGAGACTTCAATTTTGCTTGTGTCACTGTGTCGGTGAACGTCACTGAACGTCTCATCAAAAATCAGGGAAGTGTGTCCTGCTGCGCAACCATGCGCAACCCCACCGGAAGATCCGAGGTCCATTGTGAAGCAACTAGTCTAGCCTTGAGCAACTGAAGACCCAATCCACCGACTTCGCTCGCGCCATTCCGATGCCAACGTCGTGCGCGGCATTTCTCCGCTGGTTGCGACTGCGAGCAGCGCCCGTCGCGTATCGGTGGCAACTGTGCCCCCATGGAACTGAAACAAGATCCATCCGACCCAAGCGGCCAGATCTTCTGCAACATCGGGTCCATGGTTCATCCAAGCACTGAGTCCATTGAAGACTTCTTTAGAAGTGCGATGTTCATATGTTCACCTCCTGGCACCTCTCCATCTAAAGGACGCAGAGGGGCCAAACGGACCAACGGTCGCTGTCGGGCCGGGACGCCTCTCAGTCTCCGACTCCAGGCACCGCCCCAGCACCGCATGAGGCAGTGGCAGAGGGTTCTTTCAGTTCCATCCAAGTCAAGCAGCAAAGTGGACATCAATGTGTCAATCTTCAGTGGACATCAATGAATCACACATCTTTAATCGATGACCTCCGATGTTCACCTACACAAGTTTCCCCCCCGTTCTTTCTGAGTGGAGCACAGAAGAGTCAGAATGGTTATGACAGTCCCCAACTATAACGTCAGTTATAACGTCATTGCTACAGGAGGCCCTTCCCTTGACTTCTTCCGCTTTCGCCGCTTTCACCCCGCAGAGTGGCTCATCCGTTGGTGGATCCCTCTGAAGGGGTATGCCAAGAGTTTCCACTACTTCGCAAGACTGTAAACCCATTCGCGCGACACCGGACATCCCATATGTAGATGACCTCCTTTCACCGTAGCCTCGTATGACGGCTTTCCTTTCTTACACTTGTCTCTCTGGCCTGTAGCTAGTTTCCTCCTTCATTTTTCGGAGATCCACCTTTCAGTTTTCGATCATCTTGTTCGCCTCGGCGACGAGTCAGAAGCAACAGCGCAAAACATAGGAGAAACCAAGAGAGAACGCCCAGGTTGGTAATTAATTCTATGAAATCGGATGCAACTAGCAACTATATAGATATAACTACCGTCGACGGAAGAAATCCTGCACCACTTTTGTGACTATATTACACCCTCGCGTTCCCTTTTTCACATTGCTTGGTGCATCAAAACGTGCAAAACATGTGGTGCCTATGGGTGCGCCATGAACATATACCGCCGGCAAGCTGCATCAAGGAACAAAGGAGCTGCCGGCGCTGCGAAAGGTCGACTTTCTAAGATTCTAGGTGTCAAGCCATCTAAGGGTTTCAATACCAGCCCAATACCGGTCACGCTTGCCTTAGGCACCTTGGTCGGCCTCCGTTCGCATCCCCAGCGCCCCCATCCTCTAGCCCGAGCGACTTTGATGGCCTGCATCATCCGCCGGTTCCGACGCTTGAGCTTCTTCGATCGAAAGGCTGCCATATAGAAGGGATCGTCCAAGTTGGCGGCAATCTCCTAGAAACATCAAGCCGCTTGATACGCACCAGCCACAGAGTGCGGCCCCGCGAGTCAAAACCGGTGGATGTACAGGATTAAAACTTGAGAAATCCGGAGTAGCAACATCCAGCATAGAAATCCTGCAGGTCTCGGGCGGCTAAGATGTCCATCCGGCGCTTACGACCTGCTGTCCTCAATTTCATCCTCATCCTCAAGGACGTCAGGCTTCCTTTCCTGCCATCTCCGCACACCGGTCTCATCAGGCTCATAGACGATGGGCAAGAACACCCCATTCTTGAACATTAACATGCCTTGGTTTGGCAAAACCAGGAGGAAACTCCAGCTCCACCACCTCTTCGAAAGTGTGGGTGAAACGCAACAAAGAATTGCTCGACGAAATCATCCGTTGGTTCAAAACACAAACTAATTTGGCACGGCATGGCACGGTGTATAATATATAGGTGTATAATATATATATATATATTATATGTATATATAATGAAATTGAATGTGGATGAATGTGCCATAGTTTTTGTCCACCGACAGCATGCAAAACGGCTCACTTCGGTTCAATGTAAATTAGATCACGACACATTTCTGCGCCTAGTGGTGTGATTGCGAAGTTCCTCTCAAGGACGTTCAATGATGTGTGTGCCAAGTCCACCCAGCACTCCTGAGGTCCAATCCGCCAAGCACCCCTTTTCGGACTCCAAGGGTCCATAGACCACCGCCAGGATGGCCGGGATCATCAGCCACGAGCCCCAAAAGCCTTCGCAAAGACGGATTTCCGAAGGATTGAGGTCCAAACCCTCTCACGAACCAACCAGCTTGGCCCTCGAGGAACTCAAGCGATGTCAAACCTTAAAGCAGATTCTGGACTTATAGCACCCCACATACACCAATAAATGACCCCTACATCACACGGAGCCTGAGTAGGGCCCCCTCAACTGGCTGAGTGCTCACAATCCCCATTAGTATTGAACAGCATCCTCGTCGCCAAATTTGTCAGCTCCTTGCCAGTGTTTTCATCAGCGTGTGTATTGATCAAGCCGTTTCAAGATTTCAAAATGTCAGGTGAATCATTCTCATTGATTCCAGCCTGCCCCCATTCATGTTCTCAAACCATCCCAACCGTTTTAGTCATCAGTAGGTTGGCTGGGGTGTTCCTTCCAATTTCTCCAACAGCTTCATATCTTCCCAGTGTCTTTCTGACCCGTTTTTTCCATCGCTTTCCTCAGTTTCATCCAGTAGACCCAGTAGTACACATGATTCTAATACAAGTCTACGAGAAGCTATGTTTGATGGCCTACCTCATCTTGATCATTAATGGATCTCCATCACCTATTTCTCAAAAAGACATTTCCCTTGCTTGATACGAGGACTCTCAAACCGTTGAGCAGAGGGTACATCAAAAAGAGATGACATAAACTCCATTGTGGGCCTGGATGCCAGGCCTCCGCCAAAGGTGGCAAGATAGCCTAACCGCGCCCCAGGCTTGGCGGTGCCGCAGGTTGATTGAGGAATCCAAGTCGGCACTGAGAGGGCTTCTTCACAGAGAAGGGGAAAGTGTCACAGCCCGTCCAAACTGCACTGCGGTGATGCCAGTGAAAGCTGCCCATATCACCGCCAAAAAGCAGCGTGGCATACCAACCGTCATCATCAATACTCTATATTATATATATATTAAAGTGTACATCATTATATACATCTTAAACATGTTTTTACAGATTCATTTAGTGGAGGCCATGATGGCATGTTTCTTCGCGCAGAGAACCCGAAGGAGATGCCCCAATCGGAGTGACCATGGTGGCAATGTCACTGCGGCACTGCGTGCCCAAAGGGTACCCAAATGTATGGTAACAGGTGAAGAAAAATACTCCACGGCTAGTTTGTGCAACCAGTCTATACAATGATGAGAAGTGTTGCAGGAAAAGACTACAAACGATTAAAACAAGCTTGCCTTGGGGGTCGCACACAAATTCAAAACTTGGGAAAAGGGAGGGTGGACGAAAGGTTGGCAAGCAACGAAAGGTGGGTAGCAGCAGCAGCAAAAAGACAAATTGGAGGGAGGAGAATCGCCTTTCACGACCCCAAAATCAGGTCATGTAGGAGGATCCAGCCCTCCTAAGCAAAAACTAATTGAACTCAAGGTTGCTGAGGCAATCTTCCGTGACAAGAGCGAAAAGCCCTGCACTGAAACCAATCCAAAGTTGCCAGGAACCAAAAGGCTTTCGCGAGAAGCCACATGACCTTGGCAGGTTCCGATATTACAGTATATAGAAAGAAACGGAGTCCCTGCATGATTTGCCCCATCCGTCAAGCCAGACCTGTGACCCAACAAGAAGTCAAAAACCTTCAGGATCACTCAAGCATACTTCAAGGTATTCAAGCATCATTCCCTTGCATGTCGCCCGCACGCTTGGGTCTCACTTGTCAGCACAACCCTCAAGCCAGATGGAATAACCGAGCCACAATCATCTTCAGGGTGTCGCAAAGTGTACGAGCCAGGGCAGAGATATGTTTCAGAATGATGATGTGAGACACGTCGGACATCAAATGCGAGGTGATGTTAATCCTGGGCGGCTTTGCACCATGAGACCATCATGCAAGTCAACCAGGGCGACAACTGGCTGGCTGCAGCACGGCTCTCATACACGGCTTCGAAGGACTGCAGACCTTCTAGGATTCTAAAATATTCTAAAGGACACACACCAAAGAGACACTGCGGGTCAAAACACTGCGGGTCGAAATGGGTGATAGTGAAACGGGCTATTTGGCAGTGACCCCATCGGGACGGTGGGAGCATCCTGTCGGAGGCGCTCTCTCTGTCTCTCTCTCTCTCTCTTAACCGCCGGCATCCGCCGACCGGCCAAGGCTCAGCAAACAAAGCGCCAAGGCTGGGCTAGTTGACATCATGTAGAAGACGTCATAGGGATCGCAGAAGGGCCTTCGGCCCCCGTCCGGGAGATCCACAAAAACGTCCCTGGCTTTGTACCTGGATCGAGGGCCAAGTCGCGACCAATTTCACACGTCAGACTGATGTCAGACTGATCCTATCAACCTAGCGATGATGGACTGGGTGATGAAAGTAGATCCTGTAGTCAGAACCGTCTTGGACAAAATGTGCGTCAGTGACAATGGCTTAGCAGGCTAGGTAAGCATTGAACAAAAAAAAATCGCATCACACTCCCAAGCTCTCGTGGCTCTCGCCCGAGGAGGTCACATGGACAACGCCGTGAGGAGGACTCCGAAGGAGGCCGACCAACTGAGTAGGGCGATGGGATTGGGCCAATAGCTTCTCACCGCGATCTCCTGCAAACGGCAAACTTCTCACCATGGGCAGCTCCAAAACCGCAGCTTCTGACTATTGCGGTTCTACTGTGGTTGGATTGGAGCAAGGTTCAACATATTATATGGTTTGACCATGTTAAGATTATTGACGTCGGGGGGGCAGCTTGACGAAACGAGATGTGTGTCTGTCACGACTACTTCAAAATCATGGTCCTTGGACCCTCGGGCTGAGCGGCTGAGCTCCTGAAAAATCAGCATGATGGCGTGGCAAAGCTCAGAGAGGAGCAGAAGCACAGGCCCTGGCGTGCTTCGCAAACTTTCTTCCGCCCAGCACATCTCAAAGTGGGGTAAACCACGCTTGATAGATATAGACTAGAATAGATATAGACCAGACCAGAATAAAAGTTTTGATGGACATCATTCGAGGTTGCTTGGATAAAGCCCCCAAGTCCGGAACAATGTTATATGAGTCATGGACAGAATCGAATCCGTCCTAGCCCATTCCTCATATGGGTATATAATGGATACTGGTATATAATATGGGTCACCATTTCGAACAGAGTTGCTTCGTTGGGGCCACCGATGGCTACCGTGTTTCTGGTCACCAAAAACCCCTCACACCGAGATCCATCCGGCGGCTCGGCGGGTTGGCGACTCTCGGTCCGACCTTCCAGATTCATCTCGTGTGGGCCTTTACCTCGGCTGCGGAAGGGCCTGGGAACCGTTGAATAAACATGTGACCTACTAGCGATGGCCTCCAACCTAGTAGCGATGGCCTAAGAGCGTCTCCAACTAATGACCCAATTTGAGAATCCAATCGTTGTGCCTGATAAGCACTGAAAACCGTTGCCCTCGAATCTAATCTTGTGGTGCATACGCCTCCGTTGTTCATAGCCCATGGAGAAAAGGCGTGTGGAAAAGGAAACACTCTCAAAATGCGCTGTGGTGCCTGATGATGCTAAGTGAGTGTTTGAAACACTAAGGACAGCCACCACGCTCTACCTCAATGGTCTGCTTTTCTTGTTCTCTTTTCAGTTCCCTGCGGCAAGCCTTCATTTTGAACTGGGAGTCGCACATCAAAGTAGGATGAATTAGGAGAGTAATTAGGAGAGTTTGACCCGAAGCCAACATCAGTTTCACACCTAGCCTGCATCAATAGAACACTCACCCGGAAAAAAGCTGTGAGTTGTGACCTCCCACCTCAAGCTCTCTCCTGTTCCAAAAGGATCCATCATCGCTCTCCTGTTGTGCTGATCCCACATGTTGAGTCCCTGACGGTCATGTTTGGAGGACACCCACACAAGCTCCGCCAAATGATCTGGTTTTCAACCTTCTTCCCACCGAAGTCAGCGGAGTAGCGGTCATGCTTGACGAGATGCCCTTCTTGCCTCCCTTGCCCTCGGCCACTGTCGACAAAAGCAGTGCTAAGGAGATCACCAACATGGAGCACCACTGCGCCACGTTCAGGCGACGGCCCAAGATCACCACCGACATGAGGGCCATGAAGACCTCAATCCGCTGTAATTGGGGATCAGAGCTTCGATTTTTGAAGGAGAGGGCCATAGTTAGGCCATGCACACCCCACCAAATCTGCATTCCTTGATCTATGCTTCTTCCGACTATTTAATACGGGCGGAGGGCCACCCACCTCACCTTGCCGAGCCACCGCTTTGGAACTCTTGAAGACCACGAAGATGGTGGTGGGTGCACCATACAGCAAGCCCAAGCAGCTCAAGGTTGTCATGAGCATCTCAAAGATGGTGAAGGTCACAAGCCTTGGAGCAAGGATGAGCCAGGTAAGAAGCTCCTGTCACGCTGGCCACGCACACATGATCAAACATGAATCGCACCAGTCAGTCCTGGCCTTTTTTTGACCCCTCCTCTGCCCCAAATGATCCATTTGTATCCATTTCTTGCTTGCCCTTGTTTGGTTTACTCCTATCGCCGCCAACTGTTCTCCAGCCCAGGGGCAACACCCAAGGCATCACACAGCTCATCATGCCTCAAAGCCAATCGTGAAGGGAGTGTGGCCCTGTGGCACTTTTGATGGTGACGCTGTTGCCTGTACTTACCAGCCTACAGGTCACACGTCAAAAGCTCCATACACACCCGTCTGTGGATACAACTGGCAGAATCAAAATTTGATCAAGCAAAATCAAAGGGTATATAACAAAAAGATAAACAAAGGAATATGAGAGCAACCGACCACTGTGCTGTTTCCATACGAGCTGGGCACCCAAGCATCTCCATTAGTATACATGCCACTGACCCAGTGAAAAATACTGATATGTTTGGCAACGGTTGCCAAACATGCCTACCTTCGCTCAGCCAATGCAAGATGCCACTGGGCACTACTTCTGCATCATCGACCACCGCCTGTTCGGATGCTTGGGCAGCTTTGCGCCCCAAACAGCACAAGGGCAAATCGGCCAATTCAGTCCACAGATTCTTTTTGAGGTTCCACTTTCCCATTGCATCTTTTGAAAAGGAGAATTCGAGTGCAGCACTGACTTAATGCACTCACGACAGCGCAAAAAAAAATGTGCAGGTGATGAAAAGAACGACAGAATTCTCGCGGCGCAAACCCAAAACGGCGAACACATCCTACCCCACACCCCCAACTGAGAACGAGAACCCTTCGCTACGCAATCGGAGAAAGAAAAAAAACAACACCGGAGACACTAAGCTCCGCAGCTCCGCCTCTTTGGACTCCTTCTTCTCCTTCTTTTTCATGCAGCTGTGCATCGGCGCCAGGAGCATCTTCCTTGGTGACCATTGTCCAGGCATTGGCGCCGAGGATGTGTTTTGCGGTGGAGGATGTGTTTCAATAAGAAACTTTGAACAAATTCATCTGCATGATGGGCATTGAGGTGGGACTGAGGCAATTTCTGCATAGGAAAGCTCTCCCATTCCGGAGTTCAAGCAGCGTATCCCAGTGTCTGCCCCCCGCCGAGCGACAGGATGAAAACAATCATAGTCAAGCTGAGGGCATAGGAAAACTTGTAGGGATGTCCATGGTCCCAGCGGCCCACAGCCTCCATATGGAAGAGGCAACCTGAGGAAGAGCAAACCTTCCATAGTCAGATTTCTGGACCTCACACATTGGACGCCCACAGCCGTAGAATCTCTTCCGCTTCACTAGGCGAAAGTGGGTTCTGGGTCGCCCACACAAGGGTGACGGTGCGTGACGGTGCGTGACGGTGCGTGGGATAGCAAACAAACATGAAGAAAACCCCTAACATTGGCAATGCTGCATTATGAAGGACAAGCAGCAAAACTCTGGGCAAGTTGATATCCGATTAGACCCTTTTCCCCTCTGATGTCGGAATTCCCCCAATACGATCCAACACCCATGATCAATCCTCTTCATTCTCTCGGGTTTGATCCAGGAGGCTCTTGGACATTGCCATGAGCACACCAAGCACAGTGATCACCACAATGATGTTGAGAATGTACTTCCTTGCTCGTGGGGAACAATCTCGCGGGTTTCTCAAAAGTTATGTTTAAAGAAAAAAACGTCCTATATACCCTCCCTGATACAAATCGAAACAATCACGGAACCATCCCCTGTTTGTAAAGGAAAATTGTCTTTCCAGGGCCGTGTTCCACTTCCATGGGTATCTGATGAACTCGCCGAATGGAACCCTGTTACCACGGCTTCAATCTTTTTCTATGAGATGAACCTTGTTCGGTGAGGTGCAAGATAACCGCCAACCTTTCGGCACATCGACAAAATCGGCAAAATTCGCATCAACTGATCCATCAATGGGCCAAAAGTGTCACTATTGCTCTGAAGGGGGTGGCTCAGTTTCCAGTTCTGCGCCAGCAAATCAAATTGCTGGCGCACGGGTCTCGCTCCGTATACCTGCAGGGGAATTCCCGATCACAGGTTGCATAGAGTCACGTCATATCACCTTCCACCAAGTGTCTGCTTCTCAGCATCATTCTTCAGGTTTCCTTGGCAAGAATACACGGACTCCCATTCTCACCATAACCGATGATGCAACAAGCAACACGACTCCAACTGCATGGATCAAGTACAATCCTCCCGTTCCTTTGGTCGCGACTGGGAGGGTAAGACTGGTCGTAGGCACTGACATCAGATGTCGGCCCAGTGCGCGCTAAGAGTCGCATGAGCTTTGTGTCCTGCGGGCAGAATGGCCAAGAGGTCTCGCAACTCCATGACTGACCAACACGGAACTCACGCTGAGGACCATGAGGACCAGCTAAATACATATGTGATCCCTATCGAATCGACCTGCGACATCTGCGACCTGCGCTGGGACTCTAGATAGGCCTTTGAGGCCTAAAATGAGCCCTTGGGCGTCCTGGCTCCATCTCAGCGCGTTGCGCTTCACCTTCACCATGGTCATGATACCACGCGCCTGCACCCGTCCAAGGCTGAACACGTGTTTGGCGTGGTCGGCATAAGAGAAAGGAAAGGCGGACTGAGAAAACACGAGCAACTGCTGTCCTTCTGTCCTCCGGCTGATTCAGACTTGAGGAAATGGCGGAAATAGAGGAAGTCGAATGAAGTTGAAAAATAGTGAGAAGTTAGATTCTGGAACCAAGGAGATCAAAAGGCCACCCATCTACATCTCGATCGAAGACAACCACGTGAAATGCGACCATTCTTACATTATATATATATATGGTCACGCCCCCCCCCCAGAACCAACCTTTTAACAAAAACACTGGTATTTCCCATATAAAATGCTCATTTTCAGTCTATTTTTTTGGGAAACATTTTTTGATCAAAAATTTCAGGCGCAAAAAAGGAAACACAACAAATGTTAAAAACAAAACAATTGAATCAAAAAACAAAAATCGAGTTTTGGTTTTTGGTTTCTCAGAAAACCAAAAACAAAAAAAGACCCAAAAAAAAACAGACCCAACAGGCCAGACCCAAAACCAAAAACCAAAAAAACAAAAAAATCAGACCCAACAAGGAAAACCAAAAACCAAAATTTGGGTTTTGGTTTTTGGTTTTTTGAAAAAACCAAAAACCAAAAAACCAAAAAAATCTGATTTTTTGGGTTTTTTGGTTTTTGGTTTTTGGTTTGGTCCCTGGGGTCTGTATCTTTTTGTTAGTTGGCTTTTGGTTTTTTGCAGGGGGGTGGCCACATATATAAGTTCATCTTCTTACAAAAGGACACTGCAAAAACCTTCTCTGGTACCCCATCTGCCATACAAAAGGACACTGCAAAAACCATGTGCCATCAAAGGATTCCACTCACCACTGTCTTTAGTTACAGCATAACCATCCAATGCAGAGACTATATCGTTTTTGTTTCTAAAATCCAGTCTTTTAGGGTCTTGCTTTCCCTTCCTTTTTGTTTTTATTGTAGGTGTTGCATATGTTGTAGTAGCAAATCTATTAGGTTGTTCTTGATTAATTTTATTGACTACTGCTGATGCCAGACTATGACTTACCAATCTTGTTATTTCTGGTGACTTTTCTAGTTCCTTTATTACATCTTTGTATTTCTCACTGTGATGAACATTTCTGGTAGGCACCAATAATAGATCATCCATAATATCGTTTGTTAAAGATCCATCACGGCCACCTGTCCCTATAAAGTCTTACCTGTTTTATAAAACCCACTTGGTGTTGAATAGGCATTCCATAAACCTCTGCGGTCTTCTATCTTTTCCTTATTTGCTACATTCCTTTCTTCAGCATATAGTGTTCTATGTTGCCTAAAGTGTTCGTTTAAATTTCTTGTAAAGTCATTCATTCTATCATTCCAGTTCTTGTTCTTTTTTTCATAATCACCATAGGTTTCTTGACCAATCTTACCTATTAACATCTGGGCACCTCTTCTACCCAATTGTTTTAATAAGTCCCTATCCACCACTTCCTCTAATCCTTCCCTTGTTAATAGTCTTCTTATTGCTTCTTCACCTCCTCCTCTAGCTATTAACCTTTGTAATGCCCTTTCTGCTACTTCCCTACCTGCTTCTCTTGCAAGTTGTGTAGCTACTGCTCTACCTGCTGTGCCTAATATACCGATCATTTATATTATGTTTTATAAAAAATCTAAACAATAAGTATAATGAATAAAAGTTTAACTTATAAAAAGGTCTTTGTTGATAGTAACTACAAATTACCACAGTCCAGATCATCAGCAGATTTTGTTATTGAACTGAATGAAAACATGGAATGTCCTCAAGGCACTAAAATGTATATTTCAGAGGTCAGTATTCCAGCAGTGTGGAAAACAACAGAGGTAGGCTTTTATGAAAATCTATATTTTATGTTGTATAATGACAGTGATCTATTGTTAAGAAGCTCACAGGTCTACTTAGGAAATAAGATCTATTTTGCTGAGCAATTAAGTTTTGATATGGTTCAAGGCATGAATGATAAAGTCAGGGATTTGAATGCGGGTAATGATATTTTTGTTTATGCTTATTCATCAGCAACCAGAACAGTAGAAATTAAAGTGGCAGATGGATTAAATTTTAAGTTAAAAATTCCTACAGACTCTGAATTAGCAAACTATGTAAGCAATACATGGAATGGTGCTTCTAATGGGCATGATGTTTGTGACAGCACACGGCCACTATCAAAAAATTATTTGTTAAGTAATTATGTTCCAACTTCTTTACTGACCACTTGGACTTCATCTTATTGAAACCTTGTTCCATTCAGAGCCATCTATATTAATAGTCCTGACTTAACAGATCATCATTATTCAGCACCTAATTCATTTTCATCATCCATCATCCAAAAGGTTCCAATGATCATATTGGTCTTCATTCTGACTATATTGATGTTTCAAATAAGAACCTTAAGAGATTATCATTTAGAATAACAGATGAGAAGAGCACTACAATGAACTTATATGAAATTCCAGTGCAATTTTCATTAATCTTCGAGCACCCAAGTTATTAAAATTGAATAAGCATAAGCAATAATATTACTTCATTCTAATATTATTGTTTCTATTTTTTACCTATATTTTCCTAGGATAAAAAATATCTACATATTTAATAATGCCTGATATTAAGGTTGTATATAAGTGTTAATGAACATGAAGAAGTCAAGCAAGAAGAAACACCAGAAATAACAGAAGAGGCATGCCATGGACACCTAGTGTCAGCCTCATTGCCAACGTGTGAAAAAA